GCACATGATGCTCGGCCCCTGCCCTCCCAAACACAAGTCCAGCGGATTTAAAGTCCGTTGGACTTGCGTCTGGGAGGGATTTAGCTGGAATTGAAGCCCGAAAAAGGCCACTGATGAAGGTCTTTCCACTCACATGTTACTATTTAATTGAGTACTAAGTAGCAGTCGTCGTCGTGGTAGTGGTAGGCCTGGTGGCGGTAGTCGTGGTAGCGGTAGTGGTAGTGGCAGTGGTAGGGGTAGTGGAATGGCAGTGGCAGTGGTAGCGGTAGTGGTAGTGCAGTTGCAGCAGTAGTGGGAGTAGTAGCAGTAGTAGCTGTAGCGGCAGTAGTAGAAAGGGTAGTAGTAGCAGTAGCAACAGCAGCGCCACAGCCCGGCCTTGTTATGCAGGTGTCTTGCTTCGCTTGGCGGGTTTGGGTGGTATACGCGGGAGTTTGAGCGTTGGGGTGGGATTCAGGCTTCAGGCTACTTGGACGATCATGGGGCTTAGTAATTTGGCGGCTATAAATAAGGTAACTATACTTATAACTCCAACTAGGGTACTTATAACCTTACTAAGTCCCGTGGTCCTCCAAGTAGGGGTTGAGGTCGCAGGCAGCACGACGAGAAACTCCGTTGGCCTGGCCTTCCTCCAGCGGTTCCTCTAGGGGGGGGCGGCTTTGGCGAGCAGCACTCGCGACGACCCGCCGCTTGCTCGGAGACCCCAAACCGGGCACTGCCGAAAAGAGAAAGGGGAGAGGGGAGGTGGCATATGGGGCCGTGGGGTGGCTAGGGGTGTGGCAGTGGCGGTGGGGAGGAAGGAAGTGGGAAGGAAGGAAAACTTTTGCAATGATACACTATGTGCGTGCGTGCGAACGAACCGGGGGAGCATCATATACCCACCTAGCAAAAAAGAATTTCCACGCCTACCTAGGCGACGCGAATTTCCACACCCACCAAAAAAGAATTTCCACATGTCGCCCGCTTCGCCCAAGGATTTTGCTGACCGAAACCCTTGTTTCAACACTGGAGGCCAGAACGCCCTAACAGGGGCGTCTCGTGACTGAAACCTTCTTCTTGGTACAGTCCAGGGCGCCCTGGGTTGTACTAAGATAGGGTTCTGCCGACCGAAACCTTTCTTAGATAAGATAGGGTTCTGCCGACCCAAACCTTTCTTAGTACAGTCCAGGGCGCCCTGGGTTGTACTCAGATAGGGTTCTGCCGACCGAAACCTTTCTTAGTACAGTCCAGGGCGCCCTGGACTGTACTACAGTCAGGGTACAGGTACCCCTGTCTTAGTACAGTCCAGGGCGCCCTGGGTTGTACTAAGATAGGGTTCTGCCGACCGAAACCTTTCTCAGTACAGTCCAGGGCGCCCTGGGTTGTACTAAGATAGGGTTCTGCCGACCGAAACCTTTCTCAGTACAGTCCAGGGCGCCCTGGACTGTACTACGGTCAGGGTACCGGTACCCCTGTCTTAGTACAGTCCGGGGCGCCCTGGGTTGTACTAAGGGAGGGTTCTGCCGACCGAAACCTTTCTTAGTACAGTCCAGGGCGCCCTGGATTATACTAAGATACGGTTTTACCGACCGAAACTTTTCTTAGTACAGTTCAGGGCGCCCTGGGTTGTACTAAAATAGGGTTCCGCCGACCGAAACCCTTCTTAGTACAGTCCAGGGCGCCCTGGACTGTACTACGGTCAGGGTACCGGTACCCCTGTTTTAGTACAGTCCGAGGCGCCCTGGGTTGTACTAAGGGAGGGTTCTGACCGAAACCTTTCTTAGTACAGTCCAGGGCGCCCTGGGTTGTACTAAGATAGGGTTCCGCCGACCGAAACCCTTCCTAGTACAGTCCAGGGCGCCCTGGACTGTACTACGGTCAGCGTACCGGTACCCCTGTCTTAGTACAGTCCGGGGCGCCCTGGGTTGTACTAAGGGAGGGTTCTGCCGACCGAAACCTTTCTTAGTACAGTCCAGGGCGCCCTAGATTGTACTAAGATACGGTTTTGCCGACCGAAATTTTTCTTAGTACAGTTCAGGGCGCCCTGGGTTGCACTAAGATAGGGTTCCGCCGACCGAAACCCTTCTTAGTACAGTCCAGGGCGCCCTCTGGACTGTACTACGGTCAGGGTATCGGTACCCCTGTCTTAGTACAGTCCGGGGCGCCCGGGGTTGTACTAAGGGAGGGTTCTGCCGACCGAAACCTTTCTTAGTACAGTCCAGGGCGCCCTGGGTTGTTCTAAGATAGGGTTGTGTCTGGTCAGGGAACCCGTGCGTGAGTGAAAACAGAGTGCCGCAGAAGGCCCGGACTGTACTAAGACAGGGGTACCGGTACCCTGACCGTAGTACAGTCCAGGGCGCCCTGGACTGTACTACGGTAAGGGTACCGCCGGCCCGAAGATCAGGGTACGGATGATGCGCCGCCGTACCCTGACCTTCGGGCTGGCTGTACCCTTCTCTTAGTACAGTCCAGGGCGCCCTGGACTGTACTACGGTCAGGGTACCGGTACCCCTGTCTTAGTACAGTCCGGAGCTTGCGAGCTGTCCTGCTCCCCGGGAATGCCTGGCCAGCCCGAGGCTCTAACTGCACGATGTATTTCTATTTAGTCTCGGCAGAACCCTATCTTAGTGCAACCCAGGGCGCCCTGGACTGTACTACGGTCAGGGTACCGGTACCCCTGTCTTAGTACAGTCCGGGGCGCTCTGGGTTGTACTAAGGGAGGGTTCTGCCGACCGAAACCTTTCTTAGTACAGTCCAGGGCACCCTGGATTGTACTAAGATACGGTTTTGCCGACCGAAACCTTTCTTAGTACAGTTCAGGGCGCCCTGGGTTGTAGCAAGATAGGGTTCCGCCGACCGAAACCCTTTTTAGTACAGTCCAGGGCGCCCTGGACTGTACTACGGTCAGGGTACCGGTACCCCTGTCTTAGTACAGTCCGGGGCTTGCGAGCTGTCCTGCTCCCAAGGAATGCCTGACCACCATCATCCGTACCGTGACCTTCGGGCCGGCTGTACCCTTCTCTTACTACAGTCCAGGGCGCCCTGGACTGTACTAAGAAAGGTTTCGGTCGGCAGAACCCTATCTTAGTACAACACAGGGGGCCCTGGACTGTACTAAGACAGGTTTCGGTCGGCGGAACCCTATATTAGTACAACCCAGGGCGCCCTGGACTGTACTAACAAAGGTTTCGGTCGGCAGAACCCTATCTTAGTACATCCCAGGGCGCCCTGGACTGTACTAAGAAAGGCTTCGGTCGGCAGAACCCTATCTTAGTACAACCCAGGGCGCCCTGCACTGTACTAAGAAAGGCTTCGGTCGGCAGAACCCTATCTTAGTACAACCCATACTAAGAAATGCTTCGGTCGGCAGAACCCTATCTTAGTACATCCCAGGGCGCCCCGGACTGTACTAAGAAAAGCGTCGGTCGGCAGAACCCTATCTTAGTACAACCCAGGGCGCCCTGGACTGTACGAGTACCAAGAAAGGCTTCGGTCGGCAGAACCCTATCTTAGTACAACCCAGGGCGCCCTGGACTAAGAAAGGCTTCGGTCGGCAGAACTATATGTTAGTACAACCCAGGGCGCCCTGGACTGTACTAAGAAAGGCTTCGGTCGGCAGAACCCTATCTTGGTACAACCCAGGGCGCCCTGGACTGTACTAAGAAGAAGGTTTCGGTCACGAGACGCCTCTCGCAAGGGGCCTTGGCCTCTACAGCAAACTTCTCTCTTAGTACAGCGCAGCCCGCCCTGGACAATGTTGAGACAAGGGTTTCGGTCAGCAAAATCCTTGGGCGAAGCGGGCGACACATTTGGTAAGGATGTCGCTTAAGTGGATGTGGAAATTCTTTTGTGGTGGGTGTGAAATTCGCCTCGATTAGGTAGGCGTGGAAATTCTCTTTTGGGGTGGGTATGATGCTCCCCCGGTTCGTTTGCACGCACGCACATATCGTATCCTTCGTGTTCATTGCAAGGGTCTTCCTTCCTTCCTCCCCACCGCCGCTGCCACACCCCCAGCCTTCCGCAGGGCCCCATATGCCAGGGTTAGGGTTAGGGCTGGGGTGAGGGTCGGGTGCCGTTGAACGTTCCGTTGGCCTGGCCTCCCCGGTTTGGGGTCTCCGAGCAATCGGCGGGTCGTCGCGAGTGCCGCTCGCCAAACCCGCCCGCCCAGAGAGGAACCGCTGGAGGAAGACCAGGCCAACGGAATTTCTCGCGCTGCCTGCGACCTCAACCCCTACTCGGAGGATCATGGGACTTAGTCAGGTTATACGTAGCCTAGTTGGAGCTATAAGTATAGCTACCTTATTAAGCCCCGTGATCCTCCAAGTAGCCTGAAGCCTGAATCGCACCCCACCGCTCAAACTCCCGCGTATACCACCCAAACCCGCCAAGTGAAGCAAAAAATCTGCATAACAAAGCCGGGCTGTGGCGCTGCTGTTGCTACTGCTACTACTACCCTTTCTACTACTGCCGCTACAGCTACTACTGCTACTACTCCCACTACTGCTGCAACTGCACTACCACTACCACTACCGCTACCACTATACCACTACCACCAGAACTGCCCCTACCGCTACCGCTACCATTACCACTACCCCTACCACTTCCACTACCACTACCGCTACCACGACTACCGCCACCAGGCCTACCACTACCACGACGACGACTGCTACTAGTACTCAATTAAATAGTAACATGTGAGTGGAAAGACCTTCATCAGTGGCCTTTTTCGGGCTTCAATTCCAGCTAAATCCCTCCCAGACGCAAGTCCAACGGACTTTAAATCCGCTGGACTTGTGTCTGGGAAGGCAGGGGCCGAGCATCATGTGCATCAGCGGGTCTTTTCGCAGTTTAGAACCTCGTCAAATTCAAGTCCAACGGATTTTAAATCCGTTGGACTTGTACATGGGTGCGATTTGTTTCCGTTTTTTGGCCTCTAAGGTGCCCCAGTGCTAAGAAGTATGATTTGTTGCCGTTGGTTTGGCCTCGCAGCGGTGCCCGGTGCTAGGAAGTGCGAGTTGTCGCCGATGTCTTTCGCATCCAAGCAGTGCCCCAGTGCTAAGATCGGGGCTGGCGCCGTGCCCCACTCATTCCCTCATTCCCTGCTAAAGGCCGCCCAGAAGAACCCTCCAAGCGGCAAAGTCGGCGCGGTACTCGCGGGTCTGTGGAAAGACCTCCCTGAGGCTGCACAGAAAGCCTTCCAGGAGGTCGGGTACAGCCCACCTCGGCCGAAAGGGCCACCGCCCCCTCCGCCGGGATTGGACCTTCACTCCGTTCTTAAAAGTAGGATGACTGAGAAGGAGTACAACGCTGCCAGGGCCGTGGTCTACGCGGGGGCAGGGCTCCACGTCCAGACCCTTTTGGAGGCCGCGGGAATCCCCCCTCCACCAGATGAGGACCTCGACCAGCCAGAACCCACGCCCCAGGAGAAGCTGACAAGGTGTGTCAGCGACTTCAAGAAGGCCACCAACCAGATGAAGAATCTGGTAGAGAAAAAGGCCAAGCTCCAGGCTCGAGCGGACAAGCTCAAGCAGGAACTGGAAAAGCTTATTGGGGACGTGGACCAGGTGGATAAGGACATGCCTTGCCGGGCTTGCCCGGCGGCGCTGTTTAGAGTAAACGTTTTGGGTGGGCGGGGCGGGGTGTCTCTGTGGGTAGGAGGAGTTCCCTCGACTAGACCAACTCGAAGATCTCCGCAGTTTCAAAGAGAAAAGTTTTATTTAGCAGTTTTGAGTTTCTATTTTATTTTACGTATCGTGCGCTTTTCAGAATTGAGCCAGAAGCTGAGTGCGCGCACAATCTCAATGCTTATCATGGACGCAGAGCTCAGGCTCAGGAGCAGGGAAAATTTTGATTCTATGGGGCTAGCATTCACAAGCATCGTTGTGACGCATGACTGGACAGCTTAGCTTCACGGTAGCTCCATACTTTAGGACTACGAAAGCGGTAGAAGGGTGGCCCTGCGGCCCATGGTCGGCCATGAGTGGCACAGGACTCGGATGGCCCGCTTTAGTGCCACCATACCGCAACCGCCTTGAAGAGTGGTTTAGCACGCCTGAGAAATTGTATGCATCATTCGACACGAGGGAAGAGCTTGTATCATCGCTTAGGGCTTGCGATAACACGCTTCTTGAAAGTAGCCTGCAGTTGATTGCGGATGCACTTCTTGAATGGCATGCAGACAATGCCCGCACAGTTGCGAGTGGGCGCAGGGAAGCAAGGAGGCGCTTGACAGAGTGCTTGCCCAGTGTCCCGGGAACTGGCCTTAGCTTGCATGAGCATTACAATCAGATCGCACTTCAGAGTCCACTTGCGTTGCTTCCGGTTCTTCGCAAGCGGAAGTTAGCTACTGATAGGGTCGTAGATCGCGGTGCCAGGGCCACTGAAGAGATACGACTTCGGCAGGAGTATGCATTGCGTCTTGCAGCCATCATGCAGGAGGCGCAACTGCCGGTGTGCAAGGTGCTTGCAGGGGTCAGCAATGCCGAGGAAGCCTGGCCACGGCTGTTCGGGACCCGTCGCTCCAAGACATTGAGGAATCGCTTTAGGGCTTGGGATAAGTTTCGGGAATGGTTGCTTTATAGCCGTGGCAGAAGCTATCCGGAAGGGGTAGCTGATGTGCTAGATTATGCCAATGAACGATTCCAGGAAGGATGTGGAAAGACAGTTCTCGAAAGCCTGCAAGCCTCTCTCAGTGTAATTGAGGGTGTAGGGCGCGTGCCGTCCACGCAGCAGATATCTCAGGATCCCACATGGCAGGCGCAGCTCAAAAGTTACACAGCCGATTTGGTTTCGGCGGCACCGCCGGAGCAGCCAGCCAGCATGCTCACCGTTGCTATCATCCTCGCATGTGAGATCTTCGTTTGCACGCCTGGGGAGCCTAGTTACTTGAGAGCATTGGGCTTTGTTTGCTTATTGATGGTTTGGGGATCGCTTCGGGCTGATGATGTTCAGGGGCTCCTGCCGCAGACCATGCTTCTGGACGAGCGAGGGCTTAGCATTGATCTCGCGCGGTCCAAGACTACAGGGCCCGACAAAAGGACCCACACCGTCAAGGTCTTCGTGGAACGGAGTATCTCTCTGACAGGGCATGATTGGCTGAAGGTCGGATATGCACTTTGGAAGGATTTCGATTTTGAGAGGGATTATTTGGTTTTGAAGGCCAATGAAGGTTTCACGGAACCCCTTGAGAAGTCGGTGCCTTCCTCCACGGTGGCCCTTTACTTCCGCAAAGTTCTCAGTGAGTTGAAGACGCCCAAGCGTGAGGGACGCACCTGGAAGGCCAATGATCAGCGTCCGCTGCTCCCAGGATACACTTCCAGTCATTTTACGGGCCATTCTGCGAGGAACTTCCTTAGCTCGGTCGGGGCGGCCATCGATGTCGACCCCAGGGAGCTTGATTATCTGGGTCGCTGGAAGGTAGGTGGCGAAGGTTCTGCAACCTACATTCGCACTTCTAGGCAGGTTGTGCATCGTCTCCAGAGTCACATTGCTTGTTCTCTTGTCACCGGACAGCCTAAGCACTACATCGAGGTGGATTCCATCAAGGCTTTGACGGACTATGCAGCTAAGGCGGGGGAGAGCGAATCTCAGGTTCGTCGCCGTCACACCCTCCTCGAGGGATCCAAAGGCTTGGGCGGATCGTGGCCAACTCTGGCATTGGAAGTGGGTGTTGCGGCACCACCTTCTCCAGTCGAGCAGGTCTCGATGCCAGGCAGCCGGGGGGATTACTTCATCGTTACCTCTCGCACTACAGGCCTGAGGCGTTTGCACATGTTGGGTTGCTATGTCAAGCCTGAGAATTGTTACGATGTAAAATTTGTCAATCATGTCGGCGCGGAGGACGTCGATAACATTTGCAAAGATTGCAAAGCAAGAATGAAGGCTCAGGCCGGAGAGGAGGAATCAGACCCCTCCAGCAGTGACAGTGGGAGCGAGTCGATGTGAAGGCAAAAGATGCTTTCGACTGCTGTGTATAGGCTGTGCCCTGCAAGTCCTAGCCAGAAGTTGGCATGAGTTGCTTATGCAAGGGCGCCTTGAAGTAGATCCACGATAACAGTCCATGCTGACTTTTCTCAGGGCATCTTGAAGTTGTTTCGCGATAACAGTTCATGCTGATTAAGTGCACGTGCTGGCGCTGTTCAAGCAGGAGGAAGTCTCACTCGGCGCAGGCCGTGAGGTGCCGGCGGATTCCGCATCCTGTCACAGGCCTCAGGGCGACGGGTGGACACATCGCAGTGCAGCTAAAGGCCTCAGGGCGGCTAGCAATCCAAGTCCTACAGGGCCACAGGCCGGGGCGCGGCCTTCGCATCAGGAGTAGCGGGAGTTAGTTACTGTTGTCGCAATGGCCGCCACAGATGCCGAGAAGCGCGAGCTCATAACCAAAGCAGATAGCGACTTGCAGTTTGTGCTCGGAGAAGCTGGCTTGTCTCTGGATGCCCAGTACCGCATTGTGCAACGACATACAACACTTAGGCGATTCCAGGCAATCGCCGATTCCCGGCCGGAAGCTCGGGCTGCTGGGAAGGCGGACTTTGGTTTTGATGATGGGGCTGCTGAAGGGCGACAACAAATCGCGGGGGTCGTCGCTGCATGGGAACTTGCGCGCGACGTAATCAGCAAAGAGACGGAAACGCGAGCAGAGGCGAAAGTGTTAGGCCAGCCGCGAATCTTGCAAGTCACAGAGAGGCAAGCAATGCTCAAGGCGGTAGCGGCCGTTCACAGGCAGCTGGGAGAGTCGGAGACTCCATCGTCTGAGTACCTCGCTCTCAAGTGCGAGGAGTGCGAAGCCAATGAGCCTCAGGCTTCAACCTTGGATGCCATAACTTCGAAGAAGAACACGCTCACCACGAGCATCCAGTCCAGCCTTGACGCTTCGGGGCGAATTCATATTACTCAGCACAAATCCAAGAGTGAGCTCCCGACTACTACAGAAGCTTATCGCAAGGTCCTTCGCGTGGAAGCTTTCACATGGCTATGCATGGCATCCCGCTTTAAATCCAAGCAGTGGCTTCAGGATCTCAAGCTGTCTGACTTCGACCACTTCGTGAACTACATCCTTGGCGAAAAGGTCGCTCAGCTCTCAGTGCCTACGTCTCATCAGCCAGCAGATGTGCCTTCACTTTCGCCACCTTGGGAAGTAGTCTTGGCCTATGAGCACCGGTTGCGCAAGGAGGCTTTCCGTCTGGTCAATGATCAGGGTTATACTCTGGCAGGCGCTCTGGCTTCAGTCATTTCTTCAGCGGAGCTTAAGGAGACCTACTTCACGACGCCGCTCGCCTTGTCCATCATTGAGCGACCACGCAAGTGGCACAAAGGCAAGGGGAAGGGCAAGGACGGCAAGGACGGAGGCAAGACAGGAAAGGGCGGCAAGGGCAAAGACTCCAAGGGGGGCAAGAACGGCAAAAGCCCCTCGGACCCGGCTCTTAAGGGCCTTCAGTTGGTTTGGCGCACGCCGGAGGGCCGCGACATCTGCTTTGCATTCAACTCGCAGGGCTGCACCAATCCTTCATGCGAACGCTTGCACGTGTGCCGGGTCAAGGGCTGTTATCAGCCCCACTCAGCGACCGAGCATAAGCTTAAGACCGGCAAGCCCAAGGAGTGACTATCGCATGATACGGTTTCTACCATTGAGACATCAGATCACATCGCATACCAGCCTCAGCTGTACAGTCCGAGCGGGCTTCGTGTGCTCTACATTTTCGCGGGGCCCCATCGCAAAGGTGATGTGGGCTCTTACCTTCAGTCGTTGGGCAATGTCACTAACCTTCTTCAGTTCGATCTTCAGCGCTCCGCGGAGCATGACTTGACTAAGGAAGGCTTGTGGCAGCACATCTTTCAATTGCTTGGCGAAGGGGATTGGATCCTCATTGCCTCTCCTCCTTGTGAGACATTTTCCAGAGTCCGGCATCGCCACCCCGGGCCAAAGCCACTACGTTCAGCATTTTATCCTAGAGGTTTTCCATGGTTAAGCAATTTGCACAAGCAGCAGGTGGAGCAGGCTAATTATTTTCTTGATCAGACCGTGACGGCATGTCAACTTGCATGGCAGTATGTCCTGGAGCACCCGGAGGATCTCGGCGCGACGCCGGATCACGAGTTACCGGCTTCCATTTGGCAACTACCAGCTCTGCGTGAGCTCCAGGTTTCCACTCAGGCCATCACTTTTGCATTCTTTCAATGCAGCTTTGAGGCTCCCACTTCCAAACCTACCCGCCTTCTCACTAATCTACAGGCCTTTGTCGAGCAGCCTCCGCCTTTTGCTTCATGGCCACGCTTCGACTCCAGCGATCGCTACGTGCGGCCGTTGCCGCCACGCTGCCCGCACGGGAAACACGACAAAGTACTTGCAGGCCGAGAAGGCTCCCGCTGGGCGACCGAGTCATCAGCAGCCTATCCTCCTCTGTTGTGTGAGTGGCTTGCGCATGCTGTGCTTGCTTCCGCTTCGCAGGGGGGACTTGGGTCAGCGCCGCACAGCTCCGTTCCAGGTGAGGCAGGTCCAATGCAGGAATCCCACGAGGCGACGCAGGAGGTGCATCAGGATTTGTGTGAAGTGCCGCAGGGGCTGCAGCATCAGGATTTGTGTGAAGTGCCGCAGGGGCTGCATCAGGTGGTTTCCGATAGGGTAGAGGCGGTTACAGATAGGGTAGAGGCGGTTGGCTTGATCGAGTCGGAAGCACCTCCTTCCACTTTGTTGCCGTCGCCAGACTCTTCGGGGCAACCGCAGCCGAAGGTAGCACCTAGGGGGGTTAAGAAACACATTGAAGCCGAGGAGTTCGCACGCATCATTTCTTCATCGAGAGCCCCGACTCGGGCCGAGGTCCATGCTCTCTTCAAACTGCTGCCGCATGAGACTCCGCCTAGGTCGGCGGTGTCCTCTAACTGGGTTCCTAGCAGTTTTTCGACAGGCTTGTACCGGAAGGGTGGAGGCCTGATCGGGCTCAGGTCCGCGTGCAAAGGCTTCCCGGCTTCCACTGAAGCATTGGCATCCTTCGTGCGTAGCAACATGCCCGGGCACCCCTTTACCACGATTAGCCTTTACCTTAACACCGGCACCAAGCCCCACAAGGACTCCAGGAACGCACCTTTGCCCAATGGGATAATAGGGGTTACTGACTTCGTAGGAGGAGAGATCTGGGTCGAGGCCCAGGATGGGGAGTCTGTTCAGATTGTTGACGGTAAGCGCTTAAGTGGTCACCTTCTTCCGATCAGTGAGACACCCACCTACATACATGCTTACCGCGATCTTCACCTCACAATGCCCTGGAAAGGTAAGAGATTGGTCATCATAGCTTTCAGTGTATCGGAGCATACTCAGGCATGCGATGAGGATCTCGCGTTTCTTCGCGGGCATGGTTTCGTCCTTCCGGGCGAAGAGCACACTGTTGATCTTGAGGCGGTCCAGTCAGATGATTCGGAGGTGCTGGAGGGGGGCGAGGTCGAAAGACCGGAGCCCTTCAAGCATCAGGAGTGCCACAACATCGGGCTGCCTTTGAACCTCGAGTGGGATGGCAAAACTCAGCCGATCACGGATGGCTTTGGACTCTGCTCACCCACTAGATGGCCTCCGGAAGCCAGGGGGGGCCTGCTGCCCAAGCAGGCTTTGGAGTTCGCCACTGCCATGCATCAAGTGCTTCGAGACTTTGTAGCGGACGTTGTGCCTGATATCAGGCGCACGGCGATGGAGCTTGCGCTAGGCCGCCTTAAGGAATCATCTTTCACTCCCGAGATGTTAGGGGTCCTTAGGAAGGAGTGGTTTAGTTGCATAGAGGCTGCTTCGGGAGGCAAGTGTACGGATCTTGATGTGGTGCCGAGTGGCCAGCCATTCTTCTTGCATGCTGTGTCTGCGACAGCGCGGCTGTTGCAGGACCCAGATTGGAAAGCCGTTTCTTGCCAGGAGGACTCCTATGTCAGCGGGGTCGCGATCGGTTATGACTGCCCCGCGCCTCACTTGCCACAGGTGTACGAGTACAAACACAAGTCCCGCAAGCTCGATGAATCGGATGCCGAGTGGCATCGCGAGAACTATTCGTCGGCAAACGAAACGTCGGATCAGCTTGAGAAGAAGTTTGCAGAGGAAGAGGCTCTTGGGCGCATGGCGCCTTCCACGTTGCCGGTTCTTGAGCAAAAGTACGGGCGGGATAGGGTTAGGATAGCTTCTTTAGGTTCCTTGATTAAACCAGACGGCTCCGCTCGGCCATTACACGATGGCACCCACGGTGTGCATGTCAACAATGGTATTAGGCTACTTAATCAGCAATCTAATCCCGGACCCCAGGAGGTAGTTCACCTTGTGCGTAGCGCAAAGCAAAGTCAGGAAGCCACCTTTTGCCTCACCGGCGATGTGACGGCGGCTCACAGGTTGTTCCTTGTCAGAGAGGCCGACTGGCCTTTGTTGTGCTGTAAGGTGCGCAACGACACGCCGGTCGTTTGGTACAACAAAGTAGGAACGTTCGGTATATCATCATCCGCCTTCCTTTGGTCCAGATTGTTTGGAATCATCGGCCGCTGCACCGCGCGCTTTCTTTTGACATTGTGGTTCTATCACCTCGTCTTCGTAGATGATGTTCACGCCAACTTCGCAGGAAGGGAGAAATTTCATCATTTGCTCATGTGGCTAGCATGCTTCGAGATGTTTGGCACACCTTTCGCATACAAGAAGTTCCGCGGTGGGCTCACTTCGGCTTTTGTGGGTTACGAACTTTCTTATCCAGACCAGAGGGTTGGAATTTCGGAATCGCAGGGCCAGTGGCTCTTGAAATGGATCGCTGAGGCTCGGACCTCGAAGTTTGTTGTTTCGGTTCGCAGGTTTGCTGAGTTCTTAGGGAGACTGGGCTTCGTTGCTCGGCTTTTGGTTTGGCTTAAGGCACACCTTGCGCCGCTTTACAGCTGGAGGGCAGCGGTGAACGACAGTTCAGTCGCTCGGATGCCCGACACCGTCATCCTTACTCTTGAATATCTTGACCTCACGTTCAGGGACATGACGTTCAAGGTCGCCGCAGCAAGATCGGTCAAGAGAGCAGGCCCTCTGAGCAGGCGTGGCCTTCCGCACTGATGCAAAGTGCGCGGACGGGTACGTGGTCCTTGGGGGTTGGGATTGCGCAGGCACAACTCAGGAGTCCAGATGGTTCTCACTTCGACTTACTCCCTCAGAGGCCCCTTACCTCTTTGACTCAGAAGGTCACAGTCAGTGGGCTTCGGCATCGGCTGAATTGCTGGCCACGCTGGCCGCACTGCACATCTTCGGTCACCTTGAAGCCGGGCCAACTAGGCGCTTGATGAAGGTTGAGGTTTTAGCTCAGACGGATAATAAGTCTAACGAGGGCTTGACTCGCAAGGGTTCTACAACGCGCTGGCCCTTGCTCATGGTGAACATGCAGCTCACCCATGTTCTCATGAAGGCCGGCTTGCGGTTGAACTTGGGATGGCGTCCACGGGACGAAAATCAGGAGGCCGATGATTTAACCAACGAAATCTTCGACCGTTTCTCTGAGGAGTTGCGGGTCCCAGTGCAGTACTCCGAATTGCCGCTTTCCTTTCTTCACACTCTTTACGAAGCCAGGCGTGCACAGCTGAGCAGCCGTGAAGTGGATTCCATCCGCGACACGGTCGGTGGCAGGCCACGCTTCAGAGGCAAGAGAAAGAGAGAGAAGTCTCCTTGGTGACGTGCCGGCCTGCGGAAGGGGGGGCACAGGCACACAGGTGCGCCTTCCCGACACGTCAAAGACCTGTTCAAGAATTAGATGCCTGCGTGAGCCTGCCGCCATCCGTTTGAAAACATCCTGCGTGCTCCTTTCTGCAGTTGCTATCTCTTTAGATATTCATCATTAAGTGGCGAGGATACATTTGATTGGAGTCCCAAGAGGCGAAAGCAAGATATGAGAATTTATACCCCATATATTCTCCGGGGATACCGTCGGTGCATTTATGCCTTCGCCGATATTTCCGTTTGCCCAATATATCTTCTGGGCAATAAAATTTCTGATGAGGGAACTGAGTTTTGTAAACTTCGCTCACAGCGCCCTTCCTAAACACAACGGTTACGGAGAACAGGCGTTTTGGCTTGCAGTTAGCTCCAAGCGCTCCAAAACGGGCAACGGCGGGGTAGCGCCGGCTAAAACTGCTGTGCGTGGGCGGGGGCAGGCAATGGCTCCCTCCTCTGGTGGCATGGCCACCTTTTCTTCAGATATGCAAAGGCGACTTAGAGCTATGACAGCTCAACTACACAAGGACGACAACGACGGCTTGAGTCTACCCCTCAGGCCTTGGGCTAGCGAGCCCTTAGCACCATGGAGCTGGTCTGGCCAGCAAGGCAAAGCTTCCCCTCTGGAGGCAAGACACAAATTTTGGAAACAATGCTGCTTGGGAAGCAGCAACTGGGGTGCATCCGGGGCGCCAGGGGGCGCTAGAGATGCAAAAGTGGCGAGGGCCATGGGTCTTCTTGTGAGTTTCATTGTGGAGAAGCGACAGGCCTACCTCCTTGGTGCGAGGCAGGCTTTGCAGAAGATGCTCGCCATCGGCATTGGACCAAGCATGCTGTGGTCTCTTGTGGGCGAGTTTGGCATCCTGCCTTCGGAAGGTGAGCTCTGGTCAACGGCTGCCTTTTGCAGCACCGAGGCCAATAGAGCTTGTGACAGTGAAAGAAGTGATATGGCCCGGGGCAGCGGTGCTGCCAACAGGGCCGGCGAAACACTCAGTGCAAGTGCGGCTGCAGTGGGCGGCGGCGAGATTATCAGTGCTTGTGATTTCTCGGCTGCGGGCTGTGGCGAGGAAAATGGAGACAGCGATCTTGTTGCTGTGGGCAATCATTTCGACAGTGATGCTTTCACTTGTGGACATGGTGAGACAGACTGCCCTGGCGTTTGTGCTGCTGCGAGCGGCGATCGGCAAGCCACGGCATGTATCGCTGCTGGTCCCTTTCTTGATGGCCACATTTGCTGGGAAGAGGTGCACGATGAAGGCAGCCACGGCATTGCTTTCAGCATCTATGACTCCACCATCGACGTTCCTGCTTTTAGGTCTAGGGGGAACCGGACCCAAGAACCGAGAAGAACAACAAAAGATCCGCGTGAGGACAAAGAGTGTTGTAGGGTAGGTAAGGTGTCTGTGTCACGTCGACCAGATGCCGGGGACCGGACCCTAGAACCGAGAAGAAACAATCAAGATCCGCTCGAGGACAAAAAGGGTAAACATGCTAGCTCCACCGGCCCGCCCATGGGCCCCCCGGGGCCTTCAGCCTCGCAGTGCGGAAGCCATGGCAACAGTGTTGGCTTTCAGGCTCTTCCTGCTTGCGCGGCGGCGGCTGCTGGCGGCCAGTTGAGCGAGCACTTCCACCCGAAGGGCAAGTCCACCGACACGTTTCTCGAGGACCTGGAGGGCACGGTCACTGGCGACGGCGACGCGAGAGGACAGCCGTCCCAAGACGACAGCCG